CGGTCTCCCGATCCCTTTCCTGTTTCCCTGATTCCTTTCCCGTTCTCCGATTCCACTCCCCCGTCTCAGCTCTCGAAAGGTGGTGTAATCCTCCADCAACCACCTCAACTCTTCAGCCTATCCCGTCGTCAATTCCGTTTCGAATCGTCAACCCCACTCCGACACRGATCCAACCCGTATCACACCCCRATCCCGCCATCCACCCAGAYTACGTCTTCCGCCCGACCCCGGACCCACTTCCTGAGCGCCATTTACTGCGTCAGATCCYGATACRCTTCCCATCYGRTCGTACCYGCAAGATCCCGTCATAATCCCGACCTCCGTCCCATTCCGTCCTTAGTTACGATTCGAACCACTTACTCATTACTATCCCCCATCCGGATCCCGACCAGTTTTCGAATCGATATCTAGATCATGATCCATTCTGGCTACCTCTCCGACACTCACCCGATCCCGATCTCCTTCTTGGCCCCTCGCCCGTCCCCCATCCGACCACATTAACCATCGATCACCCAATCCTGATCTCCATCCTGTCACCTACGTGATACAGACCTCCCCGACACCATCACCTACGGTCGGCTGACTCTCAATCGACACAGATCTCGACACCGATTTCTCGATCCCGATCCAACTTTCAACACGACTTCCCAGAAAGGAGTGATCTGGCCAGTGGAGGGAATTAGAATTAGTCAAGACTTCAAAGAGTGTTTATCAAAGGGAGAGGCTGGAGGCAACCAAAACTTAGATATAACTACTAGAAAGGCAACTCACTATCAGGTGTAAGGCCCCAATTTCCAACACAAGACGATCCCCAAAGAGGGAGGCCAAGTGCTACTAAAATTTCCTCAGTCCAACGAAACTACTAACTCTCAACGAAAGCTCAACTCCACTTAACCCAAGTCCAAATGGACTCCTTCCAAAGATGGCGATGTCGTACTCCAAGGCAGCCCAAAAGACAATGAGTGAGAGAGAGAAGCAAGACTTCTCTCGAGGCCAGGGGGGAATGGCAAGCATTCAAGCAGGGCAAACGGCATCTCAATCAGGAACAGCGCCAAGAACAGGAGAAACCAAATCACAATCTGTGGGGCAAGAGGCGATGGATTTCCTCCTGGAGAAAACGCAAATAAAGGCAGAGATTAGGATCACGAAGGAGGTAATCAAGGGAGAAGGGGGGAAGGAGGAGGAAGTGGACGTTTGGGAATATCCAGAAGAAGACATCCAGTCTCTGAATGAGTTGTATGAGAAGCATGCGGTCCTGTTCAACTTCTCGGGAAGAAGCAAGTAGCTTTCATTGAACGAGAAGAGAAGGTGGGTGATGGACAGACTGATAGCCATGGAAGATGTACCAGGGAAGGAACCAGAAGTTTCGTTCCATAGGAGGGGAAGATTCGCCGTGATGATCGTCTGTGTGGATCCTTCCTATGCCCAGTATCTGCTGTCGATTGGTGCATTGAAATGCAAGGGAGCTGTAGTCACAATCCAACCCTGGAAGCCGCCAAGACCACCTCAGGCCGAGGCATCAAGGCACAGACAATCAATGTTGAGGAACCATTTTTGGGTGCAGTTCGACAACCTGTCGGAGGGGATGCATAGCTTTGTACAAAGAAGGCTGGAGGAGGAATTCCCAAGTAATCCTATCATAGAATGGCTCCCAACCAATCCGGATTTCCTAGCGCCTAATCATGATGCAAGGGTGGCATGTCTAGAGGTCAAGTCAGGGGCACCGCCAAAGTTCCCGGAGCAATGGATCTTCAAGAAAAGCAGTCAGAGAATTACAGTTTTTATCTCCACCAAGACTAACCCATTTTGCTTCAAATGCAGGGGTAGAGGTCATCTTGGAACCTCTTGCCCACAAGGAGGATCACGAGGAGCAGGGGGAAAGCGGGTTGCATTGAGACAAACTATGCTTCAGGAATGCGAGAGTAAACCAGGTGTCTGGTACATCAATTCCGCTCAGTACAGGGGATGGATATTTGATGACAACCTGGAAAGCCCAAGGTRGGTGTGGGTGTTGAAAAAGGATCCAACGGTAAAACCGGACATCTATCCGCCCTATGRTAGCAGGTGGAGACACACTGGAGCTAAGAGAATGGAGGACAAAGAAACGGGTTTTATTGTTAAACCCATGTTGGATGATGCGATCATGCARGATGTCGAACARAGATTRAAACTCATGGGAGAACTGCACGAGGTTGGAAAAAATGCAGAATTGGCTTTCTTGGAAAATGCAGAGGCCAGAGCGCAGCAGCGGGTGCAGGCAAGAGTAGGGGAAGAGGGGTCAAAAGAAATGGAGGAGGGTAAGGGAGACAACATGGACTGTGAGGAAGGAGGAAGTAAAGGACCAGAGAGAGGGACTTCTTCCACAAAGAGGAAGGGAGAGTCAAAGGGGGAGGATGGATCTAATACTCAAGAAAGAGGGCCGCAACTGGGGAAAAGGAGACAAAAGACCCAATCAGGGGAGGGGGCTACTTCAGGGGAGGATGAGGAGGAGAGTGGAACAAGTAAGGAATCATCAGGGAGTTCGGGGAAGGAGAGTGAGGGAGACACAAGCTCACAGGTGAAGGCCCCAAGAGGAAACAGGGCAGGGGAAGGGACAGACATGGCAGGTGGGAGAGACGAAGATATGACGGACAAGGATCATTCAGAGGGGCCCGCATAACAGGAAGAGGACAAGAGTGGATCCTAGGGATCCCAGGGACATGATACATCAGTGGATGAAGAAAGGATAAGAGAAAGGGCGAAAAGGAGGGGCATGCAAAACGCGGATAATATGACTTGGAGCAGATTGTACAGGCAGAGGAGGACCAGAGGGAGAGCGCAGCGGACACAGTAAGCGAAGCTTCATCAGAGGAAGAAGAAGAAGAGGAAGAAGATGAGCAGGAAGACACAGATGTGGATGACTGGTCAAGGGAGCGATGGATAAAGGAGGTAGAGCAGCTGGAATGGGGGAGGACGATAGAGTGTGAAATTAGACTGGCCCACCATAAACACCTGAGGAACCTCCAACAATCCACACAAGCAGGGGAGGATATCACATCAGAGAACAGGTTCGAACTGCTAAGGAGGGAAGGAGAAATCAACGAATTCTATGCATCTCAGTACGCAAGTAAGACCCGCACAGTAAGGAATGAGATCCACATAAAGCAGGAAGAATATGAGAGGATATTCCAATGGCCAAAGACTTATCACAGGAAGGAAAGGAAGAAGGACAGCAAGAAACGCAAGGCGCAAACGGTGGAGGAACAAAGCAGCGCAGCCGGTGGGGGAAATGACTCAATGGAGGAGGCAGCAATGGAGGAGGATCGAGAGAAGGGAGAGAGTGAAGAGGAAGAGGTACAGGATTTGAGAAGGCAAGCTGCAATATTGGTGGTACGGGTAAACTTACTCAAGGACGAAAACAGGGAACTGGAGGACGACACAGTGAATGTACAAAAAATTGCAAAAGGCCACTGGAAGGAGATTGAAGCTGCAGCCCGTTTGGAAGTTAAGAATGGGACGAGGAGGAGAGTGGTCTTACCCTGTCGATGGAATGCAAGGCACTCGGACTGGGAGGTGGCAATCAACCAGTCCTTACAGTTGTTAACGACCCYGTTGGAAGAGTGTTCAAGATCGGATCTTCAGAGATTAATAGKGGTTGAGGTACCAGATCGGGCCTTTATATTGAGGGAGGGAGGAGAGGAACCGATGACAATAGGAGAGGAAGGAGAGGACGAGACAACAACTGATTTCGGACCGCTACTATTCCAAATGGGGGCGGAATCCGAACTGAGGGAGGGTTTGATTTGGATGCCTTGGCAGGTGGTGGAGACCATTCCCTATGGGCTGCTAGGGGGGGAACTAGGGGCGGAATGGGTGGCGAGGTGCGCAACGGTTGCAGTGAAGGTGGAGGCGTTGGCTTGGAAGCCGAATTTCTTCGAAAAGAGGGTAAGTGAAGTAGCAAAGACCATAGGGCTCACTGTACAAGACACTTGAAAATGGAAAGATAGATGAGAAGTCCACATTCTAACGAGGAGACCCAATGGAGAGAGGAGAGTTAGAGAGACCAAGAAAGCAGAGAAGAAGGATTGAGGGGGGTACGGATCTACCGGAACTCAAAATAGCGTCATGGAATGTGCATGGGCTAGTTGGGATTTTAGAGAATAGAGACAAGTGGCAAAATGTGGTAAATTACTCAGAATGGTTCTCTTTGTCTCCACCGGATTTCTTGTGTTTGCAGGAAACACACCTACAAGAATCTGTTGGGCACCAGAAAACGAAGTACCAGATAGAGAAGAAACTGCAAAGAATTAAAGCAGCATGGTGGGCCCCAACAGCAAACAACCATTCCACGAGAGTGGTTATACTACAGAACAAAAGGGCGAAAGCGGCAGACAAGATTATCATCACAGAAACAAGGGTGGATGAGGAGGAGGGAAGATGGGACAAGATTGACTTCGAGCTGCATGAGGAACCCTACACGCTACTGTCGGTTTACTGTCCTAACGGTTATCAACAAAGATTAGATATGATCGAAAGGCTCAAGGAACTCCTGGATGGGAATAGGCACCTGATCTTAGCAGGAGACTGGAATGGCACCTTAGATCCTAGCCTAGATAGAATCTCAGGGGGCTTTAGATCACAGGAGGAGGGCTGGACAGAAGAGTCGCTACCGATTCATGGGCTAATGACGAATTTAGAACTGATAGACCCTTATAGGTTACTCTTCTCGGATGAAAGACAATTTACCTACCGTAAGAGAAACCGTAGCCAACACGTGTCGGCTTCCAGGATAGACTATTTCTTAACATCACCAGGCATAACGGGCATGTTGCACTCAGTAATCATAGGTAGCCTACCGTACGATGTGGGTTTGGACCAGAAACCCATACTGCTGAGTTTGACATCAGACAAACAAATCAACAGGGGTAAGGGGTTTAACAAAATCAATAACTCCCTCCTAAAAACTAAGGAAATGAGACAGGCGGTCTTACAAGTATGCCAAGAATACAATCCGGACACACACTCATTCCCAGAATTGCTAACATCACTGTCTAAGGCTTCTGCTATAGTGGCTAGGAGGCTAGCGACAAAGAGGAAGGAAAGAGAGGAAGAACTGACGCGAGCAATAGAGATAGTAGAGCACAATACTATTCTTCGGCCAGGGGACGAAATATATGAAAGAGTATTAGAGACGGCAAGAGGTGAGATGTTGGAATGGCAACGCTAGAAAATGAATGGCTTAAGAATGAGAGCTAGAATTAAAGAATGGGAGGAAGGGGAGAGAATGACCAAATTCTTCKTCCAAAAAATCAAGACTAGGGGCAGGAACAACCTCATAGAGAGCTTAGAAGGGGAAGGGGGCCCCACTTCCGACAAGGAAGGGTTGTTAAGGGCTGCTTTCGACTTCTATAGTAAACTATATACATCAGTGGAAGACCAGTTCTCCAAGCCTAGAGTTGAGGAGGCGAGATCAAAGTTTCTGAATTATCTTCAGAACACAATTTCACGAAAGCACGCGGCCATGCTGGACGAACCCTTAACACAGGAGGAGTTATGGGAGGCACTAAAAACGATGACCCCAAATAAAACCCCAGGGAAGGACGGCCTGAYTAGAGAATTCTGGCTAGAATTTTGGCCAATTTTGGGTGAGGAATACGTTTCCTTTCTCGAACAAGCATGGCAAGAAGAGGGTATAGGAAGCGAGCCCGCAACAGGGATAGTCACGCTGCTTTACAAAAAAGGGAGCCCAACGGACATACGAAATTATAGACCAATAACTTTGTTGACTCTCACTCACAAAATTGTAGCCAAGGCACTAGCTAATCGCTTATCCAAAATCACGGCGGGTTGATTCCACCTGGATCAAACAGGATTCATACCGGGTAGGTTTATCTTGGACAATGTCATGTGCCTAACAGAATCGGTCCGGTACATAAGGGACAAGAGAATCAATGCCGCCATTCTATTTTTTGACTTTGAAAAGGCTTACGACCAGGTCAGTTGGCCTTTCTTGCAGTTGTGCATGGAAAAAATGGGGGTAGGGCCGAACTTTAGGAAGTGGATCAGGGTCTTATACAACAATGCACAAGGACAAGTACAGATAAATGGTCACTTATCCTCGACCTACCTGATGTCAAGGTCGGTTAGGCAAGGAGACCCCTTAGCTGCTCCTATCTTTCTCTTCATAATGGAGGCAATAGCCTCCTTTCTGAGAAAGAACCCATCAATAGAAAGACTAACGGCTCCACCAGACCAGCAAGGACACAAGGTGGTAATCCCCACGACAATACTGTTCGCGGATGATTTAACGGTCTTAATCAGGGCAACAGAGTCCTCCTTCCAAGCGCTAACAAGAGCTATGGAAGCTTTCCAACTGGCTTCAGAAATGAAAATCAACTGGCACAAAACAGTGGGCTGGTGGATGGCAGAGCTAGACTAAGAGTATCAGATACCTGACACTAGCCCGGAGGGCCGGAGGGGCTTCAATGGATGTCACCACAACAACCGTTCCGATACCTAGGGATCAAAATAACAAAAGAGGGGTCTCACCAGTCGATGGCGGCAGACATAATGGCGAAGATGTTAGTAAAGTTCGGGGCTTGGTCGACAATGTACACCTATATACGGAAGAGCTCTGTTATTGAACGCATCGATCCTTTCCATGATGTGGTACGCGGGGTCAATTTGGACTCCCCCCAAGGCCACATCGACCCAGCTTAGGAGAAAGGCAGCAGCCTTTTTGTGGACAGCGAAGCACAACACGGAGCATTTCATAACCAAGGTGGCATGGAAAACGGTAACTAGAGCCAAGGGTCAAGGTGGCCTAGGCATCCTAGACCCAAGTCTACAGCTGAAGGCTTTGCAAACAAAATGGCTGGTCAAGCTAATCTCACAGCCCAGGTTATCTTGGACTTCATTAGTATTGGAAAGGATCAGGCAGATAGCWATGTACAAAACACCCGGCAATATGACGGGTCTGTTCTGGATCATGTGTAGCAACTGGGCTWAAGTGRKCYATAGGAAGGAGAACAGGGATGCACAAGGTGGGAGGGCTAGAAATCCCTCKTATTGGCTACAACTAATACAGCTGTGGAAGGAGGTCTTCCCAGCAAGGGTCAGAGAACCTACTACAAGGGAGGAGGTATTAAGACAACCGATTTTCTGCAATAATTGCATTAGGGACGG